GGCTTGACGTCCAGAATATATAAAGAGCTCACACGCCTCAACAAACAAAAAACAAATAACCCAATTAAAAAATGGGCAGAGGAACTGAACAGACAGTTCTCCAAAAAAGAAATACAGATGGCCAAGAGACACATGAAAAGATGCTCCACATCGCTAATTATCAGAGAAATGCAAATTAAAACTACAATGAGGTATCACCTCACACCAGTAAGGATAGCTGCCATCCAAAAGACAAACAACAACAAATGTTGGCGAGGCTGTGGAGAAAGGGGAACCCTCCTACACTGCTGGTGGGAATGTAAATTAGTTCAACCATTGTGGAAAGCAGTATGGAGGTGCATCAAAATGCTCAAAACAGACCTACCATTTGACCCAGGAATTCCACTCCTAGGAATTTACCCTAAGAACGCAGCAATCAAGTTTGAGAAAGACAGATGCACTCCTATGTTTATCGCAGCACTATTTACAATAGCCAAGAATTGGAAGCAACCTAAATGTCCATCTGTAGATGAATGGATAAAGAAGATGTGGTACATATACACAATGGAATACTACTCAGCCATAAGAAGTGGAAAAATCCAACCATTTGCAGCAACATGGATGGAGCTGGAGAGTATTATGCTCAGTGAAATAAGCCAAGCGGAGAAAGAGAAATACCAAATGATTTCACTCATCTGAGGAGTATAGGAACAAAGGAAAAACTGAAGGAACAAAACAGCAGCAGAATTACAGAACCCAAAAATGGACTAACAGGTACCAAAGGGAAAGGAACTGGGGAGGATGGGTGGGCAGGGAGGGATAAGGGGGGGGAAGAAGAAGGGGGGTATTAAGATTAGCATGCATGGGGGGGAGGGAGAAAGGGGAGGGTGGGCTGCACAACACAGAGAGGACAAGTAGTGACTCTACAACATTTTGCTAAGCTGATGGACAGTAACCGTAATGTGGTTGTTAGGGGGGACCTGATATAGGGGAGAGCATAGTAAACATAGTATTCTTCAGGTAAGTGTAGATTAAAAATTTAAAAAAAAAAAAAAAAAAAAAAAGAAAGAAAAGGGGGATTACTCCTTAACAGGATAAAACTATTGGTAAATCAAAGATCAACGCATGCTTTAAATATCCTTAATGTTGATCACTTAAAGGGTGTCAGATGATCAGCTATGGAGGTACTCTTTTCTGATAATATTCCTTTCTCTTAATTAAAAAAAAAAAAAAAAAAAGTTACTGTGTGCTGACCTCCAATGAGTTCTGCACAGTGGTATAGAGGGCATGTCAAAGTGTGGGCAAAGGGTCTGTTTGTTTCTACGCAGAAGATCAAGGCCTAGCTTGGATACCCAGAAAATGAACTAAGATACGATATGAGGAGGAGCTTCCGGCATCAGCACTCTCTGGAGGACTCGTGCCGGGGGATGATCATCAAAAAGCCTCCACAGGGATCCGGACGATGCTGCGGTTGTGGCTGCATCCAGCCCACCATCTCCTGGACTTGCCATAAGAAGGAGGAGGGAGATGTCTAGGCTGGCATGTGCATACAGTGAGACAACGAATTTGACTGGATCTGTACTGTTGGAACTCAACCAGGAGTTGGGAGGGGTGCAAGTTGTAGCACCCCAAAATCTCATGACTATAGACTATCTATGGTTAAAAGAACATATGGGATGTGAACAGATCCCAGAAATGGGCTGCTTTAATTTGTCTGATGGTTCAAGTACAGTTGGAAAATATCCATCATATCATAGATAAATTTTCACAAATGCCTAGGGTGCCTAAATGGTTTTCTTGGCTTCACTGGAGATGGCTGGTAATTATAGATTTGCTTTGTTTATGTCACCGTATTCCTATTATGTTAATATGTGTGTGCAAATTAGTTAGTAGTTTAAAACCTATACATACTTAAGGTACTATACAAGAAGATATGTCAAAGAAATAATCAATCCTCCCAAGTTTCCTTCATATGCTACATCTATAGCTTTTCTTCTTCCTTCCTAATTACAAACCTTAAATAGAATTCGTGCCTCATATCGAATTTACCGAGTATCATAATTCCTCCAGGTGGTAAAGATACCTCGAGACAAGTGCTGGGCATAGAAGCCACAGGGCATAAATCTGCAAAGAAGTAAAAAGCTAACCTTTGCAAACAATATGGCTTCTCTCTCACTTACCAACTTTACATTTCCCTGTATGGCCCCGGAAGATGACTGGTTAGCCAGAGACGGGTAAGATTCCTCAAGGGAGGAACAACCTAAGACAGGCACAGTCGCAGGGGGGCCATCAGGTGAGAAATTGGGGATCAACAGAGGTGAGGCTTAGAGCCTCACCCCCCGTTTTGAGAGAAATCTGCATCCGTGGATGTCTTATTGCCCTTGTCTAGCTTGGATTAACACTTAGTCTACAGGCACACACCTGATTATCTAAATTTGCTCTTACAGCACTAAACTGTTTTCTACCTTTATCTTGCATCTACCTACCACTTCAGCATTTTATTAAAAAAAATATAAATAATAATAATAATAAGGGAGAAATGTGGGATTCACATATAAATCAAGTATAAAAATCAAACAAATATTCATATTTGATCTGATTGTTTATAGTTCATAATGTGTGATCAAAACCGAAAGTTTCTGTGATGACTGCGCTTGTACTATTCACCATGTAAGAACTTATTCACTATGTAAGAACTTGTTCACCATGTAAGAACTTGTTTGTTATGCTTCAGAAGATTGGAGACTGACGAGAATTAGGCTTGGGGTGGATTAATGACTGTGCATTGAGCATTGAGTCCCCTATACAGAATTTTACTGTTGTTAACAACCATTTGATCAATATGAGAGATGCCCTCTCAAAAAAAAACAGAAAGACTCATAGTCACAGAGAATACACTGGTGGTTACCATGGAGAGCAGCGTCAGGTGGGGGCAGGAAGGGTGAAATAGATGAAATTTAAAAACTTTAATGAGAATGTTTAATATCTTCATCTGGGCGATAGCTATGATTGTACACATTAAAATTCATGGAGTTGTACACTAAAAAATATATATTAAGTATTTAAAACATAAAAAAGGCCTCCCAGTGATAAAGCAGTCTGAGGACTACAGAACCCCACCCTGCTGCCTAAAAATGGGGCATCATGTGGAATTCATCATGGAACCTTCGTGCCCACATCATGGTGAAGGCTGGAAATGGACCATCGTGCACCACAGCTTTGGCCCTGCCTGAGGGAAGGCAGCTGGGCCCATGGAGCGCATCAGTGGGGGTGTCCTGAGGGCCTGCCTCACTCTCCTGGCCAGAGGGCCCCTTGCCACTCTCGACCTCAAATGCCAGGAGGGCCTGCACAGGTGGACCGAGAACTCCTCTGGGCATGTCAGCATCCTTGTGTCCTGCTCACACTGAGTTCCATGGAGGCGAGCCTGCACTGACGATCAGAAGGCCAGCAGCCCACCAGGGAAGGCAGGCAGGATGAGGCCGAGCACCCAGGCTCTCACACCAGCAGCTCCGGGGCTCGCCAAGCTCCCTTATTCACCTCTGAGCTTTCGGGCCCACTGCCATCTTGGCGCCTTTCAGCTGAAGGACCTGCACTGCAGCACCCGGTGCACTTAGAACGCAAGTGAGAACCACTCCCCAACACCCTGCATGGTCTGCAAAGCTATGTCAGCACTGTCAAAGTCAGGGCACAGCCAGTGAATGGGCCCGGAAGTCACCTTGGAAGGTCAGGACCTGCATTTCTGCAGAAGAGGTGCAGTGAAATAGTTCAAGCATTGTTTTGTGAAATTCATTTGAGTATTGGATTAACACTGAAAACAGAATCATTACTCAACTGACCCCATCTCCTCCATCTACTCCAAACCCCAGTGGTGTCACTTTCCTCTGGATCCTGGAGACCATATGCCATTTCCCACCACAGAGCCCCATCCAGCCACATTTTCATTTGAGAACCTTCCCCCATGACCAGGCCTGTGCGCACTACCTCCACATGCACAGTCTTGTGTCAGCCTCACAATCTGCAAGGCAGGTGGCATCCTTACTTCACAGAGGAGACTGAGGTTCAGTAAGGGTTAAGTGACCAGCTCTAAATCATGTGGTTCCAGGGCTCCCATCCCAGGATCTGGTCCCTCTGCCCTGTGTATACCCTCTGCTCTTCTCCAGGTAAGATTAGGCAAGTTGAAAGGAGAGGGCTGCTTTGCCAGAGTGCAATGAGGGGGGCTTTGGACCGCCGGGCTGGGGAGGGCAGAGAGAACATGGGCAGGAGACACAGGCTAGTAGGCCCGGGCACAGAGCACATTCATCTGATTGGAAGGGATCATGGGGCAGACAAGCTTGAAGTTTCGAGTTGTGGTCTGGGAAGGAAGGTTTCTGAGCAGGGCAGGGGCTGGTTTAAGAAGGTAACTCATGAGACTTCAGCCTTGGCCCTTGGTGACAAGGGTCTGGAGTGGCGGCACTGCCTAAGTGCCTCAGCAGCTTTCCACACACCACACCCACTGATCAAGCTGTGAAGACCCCAGGCTTCCCTTCAGGATGGCCTCTAACAAAAACTGAGAAAACAAGTGTTGGTGAGGATGTGGAGAAATCAGAACCCTGTGCACTGCACAGCAGCATTACAACAGTCAAAAGCCGAGCACAACCCATGTCCATAATGAATAAATGAATGCATGGATGCAGCACAATGGAACATGCCACACATGCATGAGCCCTGAGGACAGTATGCCTGGTTAAGTAAGCCCGTCACAAAGGACACTTTGTATGTGTGATTCCACCTGTGAGGGCTCTAGAGTGGTCAGAGACAAGACCGAATGGTAATCAGGCTGGGGGAGGAGGCATGGGTACCTACTGTTTAAAGGGAACAGGGTTTCAGTTGGGGGAGATGACAAAGTTCTAGAGATGCGTGGTGGTGGTGTTTGCATAATGTGAATGTATTGATGCCACTAAACTGTACACTTAAATGTGGTTAAGATGCTAAGTTGCATGTATTTAGCCTTAATTAAAAAATAAATAAACCAGAGCCTGGGCCAAGGGGCTTTCTTACAAATGAGTTTTATTTGCATTCTGACCCAAGCACAGATCCCACAGATTTCTCATCTGCACAATGGTACAGTAACAAGTGCAAAACATGCTTTATTTCAGGTACAAAAATAACGTGGCAGTATGACTTCTGACACCCATCCCCAAACCTGTCACGTCCATGTCGCCCATTCAAGGGCACACCATCCCAAGAGATTCCCACCACCTTTACAAAAGAGCCACCCAATCTGGTGAAAGTGGGTAAGTTACATTTTAAGAAATAAATCACTCTAAATACATGAGCATTAGAGAATACGGTAACAAGTTTTTACACAGCAAGGGGAAGGCGGAAGGAACGCACAACAATCCCCTTGTCTTCTGTCCTTAACTGAGCCCCACAAACGCTTCCCGACACAGGGTGCACCAAGCCCAGTGCTGGTCTCAGGACAAACACTAGTGGCATATGCAGGAACTTGCCCCACGTGTCTCCAACAGAGTGTAGGACCTGGACCCAGATGCCTGCATCCTCCTCCTGGATCAGCCATTGGCAGCTGTAGGACCCTGAGCCCACATCTAATTTCTCCATCTTCATTTCCTCACCTGGAGAACTGTGCTATGGTGGCCTCACAGCACTGCAGGGAGAGTCAAAACCACTAGCACAAAGACTGACCCGGGAGAGGCCAGTCCACATGCTGCCGTTAGTTGGTGTTACTAACAGAGGGTCAGATGCAGGGTCTGGCCATCTGAACATGGGGGGGCAGAAATGAAGAGCCCAAAAAGTCAGGCCAAGCCATGTGGGTGCAGGACTGCCCCAGCTGGAAGCTGGACCACAGCACGTGTGATTCACCTGGTGAGGCTGCCATTTCCCCTCATTCTAGCTTCTCCCAGGGGCAGAACCAGAACCCCTGGCCTGTGAAACTCTCCCAGAGGTCCAGGGAGCAGCGCCTCAATCGCCAAGTTGAAACTGCCAATCTGTTCCTCTGTAAGAGGAGGAGCCACAGAACACATGGGGAGGGATTTGCGGAGCTCCAGAGAAGCAAGGCACCTGCTGGAGGTGAAGGCAAGGCTGCACCCTCACAGGAAGTCCAAGTGGCCTGTTAGGCACTCACTATCCACCATGGTTCATCAACCCGTTAGTGCCAACACAGAACCCTTTCCCACACACAGTCTTCTTATGCCCAGAGCTCCAAAGGCCCCCCACCAGGTCTCCAGGAGCCGAAAGCAGGCAGGACAGGGAGGTGATGGACTTGGACATTCCCACTGAGAAGCTGGAGGACCTGCACAGAAGTGAGACTCAATGGCTGCTCAGCCAATGCTTCTTTTGCTTCAAAGCTCAAAACAAAATACCTTTTATTATTTAAAAAGGTCATATTTTCTGAGATTTTCTTTAAAATAATCCAGTAGGAACAGAGAATAACAGATGGCTAGCTCAGTGATGGGCAGAGGTTTTTTGTAAAGAGCTAGATAGTAAGCATTTTTGGCTTTAAGGGCCAAGAAGCAAATCATTATGTCAGTGTAAGAGACAAGTTTCCATAATTTTTGTTGATACAGTTCTTGTAATGCAGGCCTCCTAATGAGAAGACTGAACTTTTGGGGCATGCCGGCTGACATCCCACTTCACTGGGTCCAAACACAGCGCTCCCTGTCATCAGACAGACACCAAGACCCAGCGGTGAATGGACTTGGCCAGCAGCATGTTGTCCCGGTGGCAGTGGGCATGCTGCCCATGGTGGGAGTGGGGTAAAGGGCACTGCGGTTAATTACAAAGCTCTCTGACAGTCTGAAAACTTCTCAGATAAAATGCTGGCTCCCTGCAGCTCAGCCCCAGGGACCCTCATGATAAACAGCATGAGACAGGCTTGGCCCCTGCCCCCTTGCAGGTGACTGGGTTTGGCTGCCCAGATGGCAGGGCTGCTCAGCCCAGGACAAGGCAGTGGCTACCCCTCCCTGCCTCATCCCGTCAGCTGCCCTGCACGGAACAGCAAACCCACCTCCTGGAGCTTCTTGGGCACATGGCCTCTGGAAGGCCCCTACATGGCAAGCAGGGCATGGCAGATCCAGCACTGGGCAATTGGCACAGGAGCCACCACTCAGGACTACCCACAGGGGAGGGAAGGGAGGGAGGAAAGCCCAGGAGAAGCCTATGTGGAGATACCTGGAGAGCTTGGCAGTGGCTTCACAGAGCTCAAAGGTGCCCCTGGGTGAGTACCACAAAGGAGGCCTGGGGTGGCCTGACTAGCACCTCACTGTCCCCAGGCCCTATCAGTGGCTTCACTGCAACCTTCATGTCTCCAGGCCAAGGACCAACTGAAGACTCCACAGCCTGTCCACATCAGGTGAAGGGAATGGGACAGGGAGGCAACACAGAAGGTGTACATACATTTCCTACTGGCTAGCTGGCTGACACTATGACAGAGTATATATGTAATCCTAGGCATGAATGTGTATACCTGTGTGGGAGACCAACTCCCCGGCCTGTCATTTGGGATCCTTTTCAGATGTCAGCTGCCAGCACTGCTCCCTTCCCCAGGAGCTGTGCACATCCCCCAACCAGGGCAACTTCACCCTACCTAGCTTCATCTACAGAGCCTGAACCAGGAGCATTACCTAAGATCTAAAGGGAACAACAGCACATCTAGCTGAGAATATTCATGTCAGACACAGGAGCAAGGAACAGGGATCTGAGCAGGCAGACACGCATCTTCAAGGTAGATTCAGAGCCAGACAGCACCGCGTCAATCTCGTGTTGCCAGGGACACCTGGTGGCCCCTCCAAGGATGCTGGTGGAGTGGTCAGCTTAACATGACCGAGATGCTGAGCGTCCTGCTGAGGCGCATGGCCTGCGGCAGTGCATGCACCAGCCTAAGCAGCAGCATTAGCAGCACCACACAACCAGGTGATGCACATGTGTCACCTGCCACTGAATGACTCTAAAGGAGGGAAAACCAGGATTTACCTCGTGACGGAAGCAGCCATGACTCTAGGGGTCTCCCGGCCTTATTTTTCAGAGGAGAAGACAGAGACCCACAGGCAGAGTCTCACTCCAGGTGGAAAGTCTGGGGACCAAGGGGCCCTCAATCTTGGTTCTGTCCTTCCAACTCTTTCTGCACCTCAGGAGCGGCTAGCATGTGATCTCCCTACCTGTCCTCTGCTTCTCCACCTTCTGAGAGCCTCAGAGTTCCTCTCTCTGCTCCACTGACACCAGCCAAAGAGGTTTTCCATTTTCTTCATCAACTCACTAATGATTTTCAGACCTTCAGCTGCTCAGGCCAGCCCTTGAAGCCACTCTAGACTTGGAAACTTGTGCCACATGCTCTGACGCCCACCCAGCTCCGTCTAGGTTCCCAGGGCCCACTGGGCAGGTCACAGTGAGACATCTGACCTTTGCTCAGGACCCCAAGCAAAGACTTCTAAGCTGCCCACCCTTATCCTGCTCTTTCCAAAGGCCTACCACCCCTTCCCCCAGCAAATCCTACTGCCCCCACCCTACCCCACCGCCATCAAAAGCCTCTGTGTCTTTATTGTATAGACACAACCTGGTAAACAAGAAAAGGTTTATCACAACCATGCAAACAGACACTTGCCTGGCAAAGAAATGTGATGGCCTGATAATAAAGAGCTCAGTTTGAGCTTCTGGTTCAAGGCAATGACCTGAGCACACAGGTGTATCTTCTTTTCTTCTGGCGATCACTTTTAAAAATTGCTGCTGCCAAGGAGAGGCCACAGCCTAGATACGTGGGTGCAGACAGTTCTGGGAGGGGCTGCCCTGCCCAGCAGGCCCAAACTCTGGACTCACAGCTTAGAGGAAAGACAGTGGACTAGGCAAAGAGTTATGGCTTTTCTACACTTCAATAAAAGGAAAAAAAATAAAGCCTGTAACTAGCTCATCTGACTCCTGTGGAAGGAACACACTGTCAAATCAGGCAGCTAAAACATTCTGTTACCAAATTACCAGGTGTATTCTTTTTTGGTACTCAATATTTTCTACTTCTTTCTAAGCTAAGAGATCTCATTATGACCATCAGGAGGAGTTAAGGAAACAGTGGCAGACCCAGAAAATGGAAGACTACTAACAGCAAACTTAAGGTTGGAATTAAGAAATAAAAACATTAGCCTACCACAATTTTAGAATTAAAATTAAGTCTGTCATCACTTGGCCTGGATAGTGGCATTACTTAAGTCTAGTGACCAACGGACACGTTGAAAGACTGGGGTCAGAAGACCAAAGGTCTGCTGCTGGTTCTGTGTGAACCTGGGCAAGTCGTTCCACTCCACGGGACTCAGTCTCCCCAAAGGAAATAACTGGCCTTGATCTTCCAGCAGAACTAATGTGTGGAGCTAGAATATGCACCAACAAAGAGTGCAGAACATCAGAGAGCGGTATGAGCCTGTCTCATTGAGACAGGTAAAGCGGGAGATGGCAAAAAGAGACTATATAAAGTCAGTTGTAAAAATGGTGGAACCAAACATGGATTAACTTTTTAAAGAAGGTGAGCTTCCCAATGGCAGCCCCATATCCCAGGAAAAAAAGATCCAGTAAGAATCAGGGGCCTTTAGCAAAGGGGCCAAGACAAGTCCATGGGGATTCCTATGGTCTTTTCAACAGCTGGTGCTGGGCAACTGGGTACCCACAAGCAAAAGGACGAAGTTAGACCTCTCCCTCACACAGTATGTAAAAATAAACTCAAAATGAGTCACAGACCACTGGAGAACTACAATTATAGAACTCCCAGGCATTAGTCTTCTTGAGTTTGGATTATACAAGTATTTATTAGATATGACACCAAAACCAAAAACACAAGCAACAGAAGAAAAAAATAGGTATCTTGGACATCATCAAAATTAAAAATTTTTGTGCCTCAAAGGACATAAAAAGAAAGTGACCTGCTGAATAGAATATTTTTATAAATCATATATCTGATAAAAGACCTGCATCTAGAATATACAAAGAATTCATAAAACTCAATAATAAAAAGACAACCCATTTAAAAATGGGCAAAGGATCTGAAGAGACATTTCTCCAAAGAAGATATACAAATGGCCAATGAGCACATTAAAAGACACTCAACATCATTAGCCATGGGGGAAATGCAAATCAAAATGACAATGAGTTATCACTTCACACACACTAAAATGCTATAGTCAAAAAGATGGATAATAACAAGTGCTGGTGGAGGATGTGGGGAAACTTGAATCCTCAAACACTACCTGACAGCACTGGAAAATGGTAGAGTTGTTTTGGAAAACAGCCTGGCAGTTCCTCCAAAAGTTAAACATAGATTTACTACATGACATGACCCAGCAGTTCCACTCCTTTGTGTATTCCCAAAAGAAATGCAAATATATATCCACACAAAAACTTGTACAAATATATTCATAGAAGCATTATTCTTAACAGCCAAATGTAGACAACTCAAATATTCATCAACTGATAAAACAAAATGCGGCATTATCCAAAGAGTGAAATCTTTGGATTTTTTTCTATAAAAAATGGAAATTTATCTATAAAATTTCGATTTAAGTTCTGAAACGTTTAACATGGATGATCCTAGAAAACATTATGCTATATGAAGGAAGCTAGTAACCAGAGACCAGAAATTGTGTGATTCCATATACATGAAATGTCCAAAATAGGGAAATACAGATAGAAAGTAGATTCATGGCTGCCTATGACCTGGGGGGAGCAGGAGAAAGCAGGAGAGTGAATGCTAAGGACTCAGGGTTTCTTTTGAGGATGATGTTAACACTCTAAAGTTGACTGGGCTAATTCTGCTTATTTACTAAGAACCATACATTGTACCCCGTAAGGGGGTGAATGGATGGTATATGACTTGCATCTCAATGAAGCCACATCAGACCACTGGCTGGCCTCCTCCAAAAGGAAAAGGACTCAGGAGCCTGCCCTTATGCTGTAGGAATGCCACACCTGTTGTCCCAACATAATAATGACTATAGCCTATTTCTCTGGTTCATGTGATAAATTGGCATCACTGCTCTACCACCATGTGAAACCAAGCAGGTATCTTTGTGCTGCTCTGGGCTCCAGATTCTTCATCTGTAAAGCAAGGTCCATCCAGTTCTGACCATCTTTGACCCTAGCATTAGATTCCCCAGAAGCCCACCTTACAAGCAGTTCACAGGGCTCACCATACTTTGGGGGATGAACGTAGCTTAGTAAAGGGTTGAAATCTTGGGCCAGTATCCACCACTGGGGCCTGGGAAATATAGCTTAAGACAGTCTAATTCCTGAGTTTACCAGTTACTGATATTTCAGCTTCCCCATAGTTAGGCCAAGTAAGTGACCCAACCATTCCAATGCAACCAAATGCCCTGTGCACACCCACTACAAATGAAAAGGGATGAACATTTAAGTTTGGGTCCTTAACAAAAAACACAAGGTCCCTAGGAAATGTGGCAAGGGTGGCAGTGCATAACCAAGGTCTTCTCTAAATGGGATTTGGTTAAGTCCATCCAAGATGGCCTGCCATCATAGCAGTCAAAGGCAGCTGATGAAGACAAATGGAATGCTCACTTTCTAGTCCTCATTACTCACGACTGCTTAGGAAATACACCAGAAGAGCTCAAGAGGAATTATTTTGTTCTCATCCCTTTTACTCTCATGAGAAAGAACCTGAAGAGTATTTTTATCCTCCCTCACTCCCTCCTGAGCCCCACAACGAGGTCCTACCATGCACTGTGGTGTCAACATTGCCAATGCAGAGACAGGAGCCCATTACTGGGCTTTGTGGGAGCACATCCTTAGAAACAAAGTAAAGGTGAGAGACACAGCGGCACAGAATAAACCCTCTCCCATCAGTCCATCAAGAACAAGAAACACAGATGCTCACAAGATAAGGGTAGCAAACTGCCCCCAGTAAGCAACCCTGGCCCTGGAGCCAGTTCCCAGAGCAGGTGAAGGTTCATGGGTGAGGCAGAGCTTGCTCTAGAGGCAGGAAAGGGGTCAGAAGGAACCAATACTGGTGGCACTAAGGTTCTCCAGTGAACCAGCCCTAACTAAGGGAGTTTAGAGTGGCAGCACTGGGAAAAAGAATAAGGCGCTGTTCAAAAGCTGGAGACCAGGAACAAGGGGGAGGAGAGCCACCAGCTTCCCATGAGGAAGAGACTGCTGCATCATAGGTTTCTGCTGGTTGTTGGTCTGTGGTCTTCCTGGACTGGGCAAGGTCCCTCCTAGCCACAGCTTGTCAGGGAAGCTGCAAGCTGCAGCTTACAGTGAGATTTCTACATCCAAGGGGGTCCATGGGGCTGGGAGCCGGAAGCAGTTACATGCTCTTCTTCTGTTCAGAGGCCGCATTTCAGGATGATGTGATAGCCGTCATTGCTCTCGGCTGTAAAAGAGATACACTGGGCATTTTACAAGAAGAAATGCAAGATGCTGTAGCATTTGGGAGTCATGGAAGGCATGATACTAAAGTACCAGCAGAAGCCCTACCACCATGAATATTGGCAGAGACCAACAAAATAAGTCTACATAGGGCAACACATGCTGACAAAAGCAGAGATTTCAGTGCATGCCTTCCCATCTGCCTTGTTGAGTATTTTCTGGCAACAGGCCTTTCCACCACACCCCGAGGCCCAACGACTAAAGGACCTATGTGCAAGGAGGCTCTGGACAAACTGGTTCTCTTGGAGTTCTGGCCCCAGGCCTTGAAAGGCAGATTCAGAGAACAGTGCAGAGGAGAGTGGCCTCACCATGGATCAGGCCTATGACCTGGTCAGAGGGCATTCATTCTGGCCCTCCATGCACTCAACTGTGCATGGAGCCCCAGGGGACGTCACAGCTGGTCTTTCCTTTCACCTGGCAAACAATTTCCCAGACACCCTCCTCAGATGGCCCCTTCTCCCTACCTGAAGCCCCAGTGCACTCGGCCTGCAGACCCCACTGCCGGATTCCACGCCTGCTCATCCTGCAGACCTCATTTACGAAGAACGCAAATGCATCTTACTTCTACTCAGCCCTGAGTTCATGGAGAACACGTGAGCTGGCCAGGATTTTCCTTCTGGAAGTGACTGTGGGGCCATCTCACTAGTTCTCATGTTTCTAGGCCTGGGTTTCACAGACACTCATGTTCTTTCTGCCCAGAGGATGTTCCTGGTGGGAACGCTGTGCCAGCAGACCTCGTACACTGGTCCCCAACCCAGGAGGCACGGCCAACATATTTCAGTTAAACCAGGAAAGTGGCAGGTGGGCTTTACCTTTCAAGGTACTGAGGATAAAACAAGATTCATCTTGGAAATTTTGCACCATCTGAAAGGCAAAAGAGAAACTGTGTTCCTTCCACAGAGTTCACATTGGAAAAGCCCCAGAGACATGGAGCCCAGCCACTTGGAAGTGTCAGAAATGACAGTCACTGTGTTTACACAAACGCAGGACAATGGTACTTGAACAATCACTGAGAAAACATACTGCAAAATAAATGTACAAAATGATTACAATTTTAAGTAACAAAAATGAACAGAAAGAAGCCTGGAAGGGAAATAAGACATTAACATTTAAAATGGGACTACGTTTTTGTTTGCTTCAGTTCTGCTTCATAGTTATCAGGTTGTCCAGCCTTTTTAACAGCCACATTACAGGGGCAGAACTATGCACAACAGCCAGGCTCAGTACCTGCTAGCAGGCTCTGCACATGAAAGCCCTGTGAGGACCCAATATAAACCAGACTGCCACTCCCCGCATCTACAAACGCGGCGATTACTCACCAGCCACCTCTCTGGAGTTCTCGTCCTGATTAACTACCCAATGACCTTGGACAAGTCAACCTTTTTGCTTTCTGTCTCCATGCCCTATCTGTAAAACAGGGCTGTTTCAATGATAAAATAAATATCTACAATCAGGAGATAGAGCAATGGCAACTGGTGTGCAGCATCCAGTGCCAGTGGGGCATGACTCTGTACAGCTGCTTTATGAAACTGTCCACAGGACCCCATGAAGACAGCCGCATGCAGTTCTCCTGCAGGCCGAGGCCCTACGTGAAGTCCTGTAGGTGCACACCTAAGAACGGTCAGAGCAGCACTGTCTGTGAGAGTGGAGACCAGCAACAGCCCCCATATTAGTCAACAGATGGATGAACAGACTGACCTACACATGCCATACAGTTCAGCAGTGGCGATGGCCAGTGGCACACCTCAACATGAGTAAGTCTCAAAAATATAATATGGAATGAGAGAAGAAAGTCACAGAAAAATACACTATTATTCCACTGATGTGCAGTTTTAAAACTGCACAATTAAACAATATAATGAGGAGGAACACGGAAATGATTAACAACCAAATTCAGACCAGTAGGCAGAGTGGAAGGGTGGAATAGGAAGTTAGCCCACAAAAGGGCTTTTAACTTAACTTTGGATTAACCTGAGTGCAGGGATTGGGAACTTTATTCTCTAAACTGTCCAAGTTTTACATGCTCTTTGCATATTTTTGCTGTATTTCCCAATATAAATGGAAAGATTATTAAAATTATACACATACACACCACACACACACTAGTCAACATGACAGCAAAACCCCTTCCCAAATTAAGAAACACAACCCACATTTTATTGCCCGCTCTGGATTACTGCCTCAAATCCTGCAAACCCATCTTACCTGTCGACCCCTGCCCGCCCTGCAAAGCCTAATGAAGCATGAAGTACATTTATTCTATACTGCTGGTCTGCTCCCTCTAAGACTCTTGGCAGCCCAGCCACTTGGGCATGCAAAGCCCTAAGCAGAGCCCATGTGGGCTTAATCAGTAACTCCTAGTTTAATTAAGTACCCTTGCACCCCAGGGGCTGGTTCCCCGGCTGGCCAGGCTGCCTCCAGCACTCAAAGCAATTAGGAACCAAAGGTTTCCAATTGATTCGGGGTTAAGAGGCAAGGAGACCTCAGGGAGTAGGAATTGTCTTTTTAGCCGAGGCGGCATTTGAGTTCTGTTCTCTGCTTCACTTGCTTAACTGCCTACTCTTGGGGGGCACAGAGCAAGCTAGGAAGGAACTTCCTTCAGGGGCCCATGAAACTGCAAGGGGTCCACACACTCTTGGCTTTTGTCTTCACAAAAGAAATTCATCTGAAATGCAAAGTGACAAGCCTTTAGTGCCACCAAAAGTGTCCATCACTCAGGACGGCTTGACCTTCCTGGCTACTGCACAATTTTCAGGCCAGGAACCCTGAGCTCCTTTTCTTTATGTGTGAGTTGGGGGTAAAAAAAATAGCTGTTTTACATTTGAATGTGATGGTAAGGGAAAAATTCTGAACTTAGGACAAAAATGGCAAGTGGCAGATAAATGTACAGTTAGATCTTTGTTATGCATTTTTAACACCCCCACCTATACCCACTCAGGCACACAACGGACACTTGCACCAAGAATTACCTAGCAGAATCCCATCAAACCTGATATAAGCTCCTCTAAGAAAACAGCACAGGGAAGATAAGGGCCTTTCTCATTTGCCTTGAGCTGCTTTATATTGCCTGACTTCTTAATAATGGTGAATTACCTTTTGTGGGGAAGTTCGGGTTCCTATGGCCAGGATCCTCATTGAACTTAAACCACCTGATGATGTAACTGGCCTGTTGCTAGGCTACTGCTTCCACACCTTTAGGCAATAAGCTATTATTGCACTATATCGAGAGCTCAGCCCAGTGCTCTGGGAGGAGGCAGAGACACTAGTGCTCGACCTACCACTGAGAGAACAAGCCAGGTAATAAACCCTTTCACCCCAAAGAACATTTTGCCGTCAATTTCTTTGGTCACATTGAATCCATAGTGAACTTGCCCAGGGCTGAAACCCATTGGCAAGACATTTTTTAGTTAAAATGGAAGGAAAACACCACCTCACCCAACTCCAGGATGAACTTCCCATGAAAGGGAGACCTCAGATAACTCCCATTTAAGGAGCTCAACAATTGTAACGACAAGTGTCAACAGGACAGATACTAGTCATAGTATATATTAAGTTAAGCCACTCAGTTACCATGAGCAAGCTGTGGGTGGGCAAACATCGGTCCAATTCCAAAGCCCCCATGTTCTCTACTTCCCAACTACCATTCCCATGCCATGTCTTCTAGAATCCCCTACACAGTGGCTTTTGAAGTCCCCACGGTGGGCTCAGGGTCTGCTGGGGCTGAGCTGCAGGCTCAGGGTTCTACCCCTGCCCCATCAGCAACGTGCTGTTGTCATCCAGGCATCCTTTCAGGAGAGGCAGGAGAGGCTGGAGAGTCTGCTGGTTGAGTCTTGGGCTCTACAGCTGTACCATCAGGGGTCCACTCCAGCACCACCCCTCACTCAGCCTGCCTGTGAAGTGGGACGGTGACAGCACCCACCTCACAGGGAGGACATCAGGATTAAATGAGCTGCCCCTTGGCACTTAGAATGCCTGCCAGGACTCAGGGAGCACTGCGTCAGCAAAGGCACTTCTCACTGTGCAGGAGCGGGAAGGGCCAGGACAGGGCAAGGACGTGCAGGAACACCTCAGTGTGTCAGTAAACCTGTTAGTAACCCCTTCCTGCTCCATGAGTGGGACAAATCTTGAGGGCAGTTCCACTGAGGCCCTCTGCCAACAGCTGCCTGTGCCCTGCACAGGTCTGTAGGGCCACAGACAGACCCAGGAAGGCTGTGGCACCTCCACCAGGCAGCAGAGGCCTCTATTCTTCTCTCTCAAGAGCCACACCCTCTCCATTGTCCCACCCTGCATGCGTTTCACCTCTGGGGGCCTCCCTGGGGCCTGCTGGCCATCCTTCTCCTGACTGCCTAGGGCCCAACTGTAGTAACCATGAGGTCAGAGGCTCAGCCTGCGCTCCCGGTTCCTGCGAGGCAGCTGGCTGAACGTAGGGAACGGAGTGGACATTCCAGAGCTATTCAGAGCCCAGCTGTGGCCTGCCCTTCTCCCTCCCAGCACCCAGACAGGTACCACAGGCCAAGAGCAGGGGGCATGCAGATGAAACCTGTTTGCATCTTTGGACCAAAATCATCCCGAGCCCCCCAGGGTGCACTCTGGAGCCGGCCTGCTCCTCCCCTTCCTACAGTCAAAGGGTCAGGTCAGCGACAGCACTCACCTCGTTGCTGACCACCACATGGATACCTGTGGGGCCCTGCCGGTACACGCGGTGAATGTGCTGGGGGGCAATGCTGTACAGATTGGCGATCTTCTCAATTAACTCCAAGGTGGTCAGCTCTTCCAAGAAGATGGCATGGTATACTGCAGAAGGGTGGAACAGGTCCTTCTGTAGAACAAATGCCTACCCTACCACCCCCACCAAATCAGTAACTCACAAGGTGTTTCACATGCAGATTAATTCTGCAGGACCTGGCTGTAATGGGCACGTGTCCAGAAACCACAGGACTTCTGCAGCCTCTCACAGGCGAGAAGCCAGGCTGTGGTTCTCAGTCTCAGTCTCTCTTGGGGGGTGCTACATAAAACAGACCCAGTGACACCCACATAGGGGTGGGGGCTGGAGGGAGAACAGCTGGCAGGATTATTTCCAACCAGCTTCCAGATATTCTGATGTGCAGCCTGACATGCACCCACTGCAGGAAGAAGGAAAAAATCCTGTGTCCCTTTTCATTTTCCACAATTCAAAGGGACTCTTGGATGGCTTCAGATGGCAGAGTGAGATTGAGATTTCAAGGTAACTGCTACTTGACATAAGACAGTCTCATTCTTGCCCTTCTCCACAGTACAAATGACAGTCAGCACAAACACCATGACCGCAAAGGGAGGAGGAGGGACACTGGGACACTAGGAGTGTTGAGGACAACTGACCCTGAGGCTGGATGTGCTTCCTTCCACAAAGCCCAAACCAGCAGGGCCCAAGCAAACTCCTTGGGGGACCTGGCAGGGATTACTCAATGTTAGGGGCCTCAGGCTCCTCAAAAATAAAACACAACTAGATTAAACCAGAAGTTCCCAAACTCCTTCCTCAACCAAGGAACACTTGGTTCCAAAATATCTGATCAGAGACCCTATTATTTATACATACACACACACACACACACACACACACACTAGTTCCAGCCATGTGACATTCACCTTCTTAGGATTTCACACAGACTAACCCACTGTTAAAACTTCCTCTGCTCAGAGAATGTGGTCACTGCATGATGTTTCTATCAGTACTAACACCAAGTAAGATTCCAGGCCTCCCTTCTAAGATTGCTTCTTATAACAGAATTCTGATCTTTTTTTTTTCTTCCAATTTTTCAGAGCCAGTTCTGCTTTTACTCATTTTACTCTTCAAACAAATTAGGCTGCTGGCAAAAAAGAACTAAAAGAGTTACAGGCTAGCACCTTTTGTAAGCTTTTGTCACTGGCCTTTCCTGCCCCACCTGAACACTGTGGCCACCAGCAGTGGCAGGGAGAAGGGTCAGCAGGCCACTCTCTGAATTTCTCTGGAGCCTCTGCTCATCAGAGGACACATGGGGGGCAGTTTGTGGTTATTTGTTTATTTGCTCTAGAATGGGCAATCCTAGTTTAAATCCTGACTCTACCACTCACAAAAAGCAAGACTATCTTGGACTATCTCTCCACTTACTGGAGCCTCGGGGTGTCCGCTGGGGGCAGCACGGCAGGGCCCCCGCAGGGTGAATCGCACAGTGCATGAAGTGCCTGTCCTGAACAGGTGCTGTGCACTAGGCTGCCCTTTCCACGTGGTTGGGAAACCATGAGGCCTGGGCTGTTGCTCACAGGCTGACTGCTGAAAAGCAGATGGAAGATCCAATGTACTGAGGGCTGTGAGGCTCTTAATGTTTGGATCCTGGCTCTGCCACTCACAATGCTGTCATCTTGGGGCAGTCAACATTAGCAACAGTTCCTACTATGAGAAGCACCAAGTAAATATTTGGAAGGTCCTTGAGACAGGGACTTGTTGAACATTCTTAGTGATCAGGAGGGACCTGCACAGAGACAGACAGCTGTTTCTGCAGAGGATAATCACAGCACCAACTCTGCAGGTCAAGACTGGTAGCTATGAGACTCTCAGCACTCAAGGATGCTCAGAAGCAAGAAGCTCTTTATGTATCATCTTGAAACTTCACATCTCTGGGAAGTAGGTATCGCTATCCTTATTTCACACATGTGAAAGCTGGAGCACAAGCCCTGGTACCCTGCCCAAGGCATGACTAGCATTGATGATTTAGGGACAGCTGACCTCCTCCACGCTTGCGTCCTCTCTCACCGAAGTGCCTCAAAACTGACAACCCAAAAGAGCTGTGTGTCCCTGAGGTGCCCTAAGATCTCTCAGCTGTGCTCCTTAGCCTCCATGCAGCAACCTAGCCAGAAAGAGAAACTCAGCAGCCGGAGAACAGTGGGAGGAAGTGCTCCCAGGAACACAGTCACAAGTGCCACTTGTCACTAGTCTGGGAGCCAGAAGGCCCGACTCCCAGTCCTACCATGAGTAGCTAAGTGGCACTGGGGGACCACATTTCCCCTCCGGGCCTATTTCCCCAGTGGGCCAGATACTCTGGGAGATGATTGCCACATTAAACACTTCAATCCTGGGATTAAGTTCAACAAAAGCTCATCCTGCATGAAGCCAGAATGAGGCAGGTCAAAGGAAATGTGGTCAACAAGAAGATTCATTTTGCCACATTTATTTCACTCTGCCACCCACGGGGAAGGGCTCTCCAGAACTCACCACATAGACTGCTGTCCCCGCCACCATCCCGCTTCTGCTGTTGGGGGACGCGGTTCTGCTCTAGCTCCTGACACACATAAATGGTCATCTTCGGCCTCACATTCCTGGCAGGAGAAGAGGAAATAAACAGCAGGTATGGGAGACCAAGCTATGTTAAGTTTCAGAATGTTCCAGAAAACAGGGTGGCAAGAGCAGTGGGAAGGACCCTGGAAAAAGGAAAGAAGGCTGTGGGGCTGGAGAAGGCCTTTTACTGGGAGTATATAGAGGACAGAATCCTGCCCAAGTGGAACCTCTACAGCTTCACGCGGGCTGGCTTGGAGGCACAGGGATGGACGACCCTACCAGGTTCTGCAACCTGCCAAGAGGGGTCTGTGCTCAGTATCTGAATCTCAAGGTGCAAGGTGTTTTCAGGGTGATAGTAATAGCAATCACTTTCCCTGTCTTACTCTAAGCCAGGCACTGCTTCCAAAACTCAACACGTCTCACTCATTTCAGCATCACACAACCTACAAGAGAGCTGGGCCCATCATCCTCATTTTACAGAGGAGGAAACAGGCTAATGGAGGTTAAGGGCTTTAGCCCAGGGACAAAGTTCTTAAAAGGCAGATCTGAGATTGAAACTCAGACTCTCTCTTTCACTTTAAAAGTGTCATCCCCTGGGAAGTTGAATAAAATTTAAAAACTCTGAAGACACCACAGCCCCAGAGCCACCCATGCCACACAGACCAGGGTCAACCCCACCCTCTTCATCATCACCCTCAATGGCGAGCCCCTGGCTGCATCTCCTGAGTTGTTTGAAGACAGTTTCAAAGGCAGCAGAAAACTTCTGTGCTCTGGCACTGGGGAGAAAGCGTTTAGTTATAAGGTTCCTATCTTCACAAAATCATTCTGGGACTAATGTGCCAGCATGATGACTTAACATGCCATAATGGCACTAGTGGCAGTCCACCTATGGGGAGAAATTTGATGAGGAGAATTTCATCCTAAAGTACACGGGTTCTGGCATCTTGTCTGTGGCAAATGCCAGATCCAACACAAATGGTTCCCAGTTTTTCATCTGCACTGCCAAGACTGAGTGGCTGGATCATAACACATAGTCTTTGGCAAGGTGAAAGAGAGCATGAATACTGTGCTGGCTATGGAGCGCTCTGGGCCAAGGAACGGCAAGACCAGCACTGCTGACTGCAGGCAAATCTAACCAATCTGGCTTGTGTTTTCTTAACTGCCAGACCATTCCTTCTATAGTCTAGGATAACTGATGTCTTTGTGCTCTCACTACAGTTCTTTGGGTTCCATATTTTGTTTATCCCCCTCTGGATTGCAAGTTTGATTATGAAATAAAAACTAAACAATAGCAAAAACCGCAGTTGGTCAGTCCCATCAGCTTCAGATCAGGTGCTCTACAGACGCTTGGCCAGGGCTATGACACTGAACCCAGTGTGAACACTTTTTATTGGCATATAAAGTATGTAGGGAGTTGATTATCAGCATGGGGAATTGATGACATGTGCACTTGTCCACAGCTCACTGGATGCTGCTATTCTGAATACACCCATGCACCCAGGACCCAGATCAAGAGGCAGAGCATTCCCATCTCCAGAACCGGCAATGTGTTCCATCAGGCACAGCTCTCCCATCTGCCCTGAAAACTGTGGGGGCTGGGTGACCTGCACCAGGCCATGCCTTCTGTCTGGGAAGAGACAGCTTGAAGCTCAGGACTACACAAGCATCTGAGATCCTGAGGAAGCAGCTAAGGGGCTGAGATCCAGAGGCCAAGGCTCCCATCAAACAGAGACGGAGGGGCCTCCAACAGAGTGGGCTGCAGCTGGCTGCATCTCACATCACAGCATCTCACTCCCCTCCTGTGGCCCTATGGCCTTCTCATGGCACCTCCTTCTGCACTTGCCCCCAGAGCTGCCCTGTCCCACCAGCCAGCCCACAGTGTCCCAAAGACTGAAATGTGGGTTTCTAGCCACACCCTGCTACAGCTGCAAATGACACCCACCTGCCTTTGATGGCATTGAAGAGCCGGATGCCATCTGCAGGGCCACAAATCTGTACTAAATCATCCCGAGACATCTTCAGCAAGTCAGCACCTAGGCAGATAAAGGGGCCACCTTTATGTAGGACACAGAGGAAAGGCTCCAAGCCCAACAGGTGTCAGACTGGTGTTCACAAACTCAGTAGGACAGATAGGTGTTTACAGAAGTTAACAGGTCTTCACTGCCTGTCCCTCCCTCTTTGCTTTTTATTGGCATACAATGCATGTGCATATCTCTTATCAGCACAGGGCACTGAGGACATGTGCACTTGTCCACAGCTCACTGGATGCCGCTATTATGAATGCACCCATACACCCAGCACCCAGGTCAAGAGGAAGAACATTCTCACCAACCCCCAGGTCCCTGGGGCCAAACACTTCCCCACCTTGGGGAAACCACTGTCCCGACAGCTTATGTGCTGGTGAGTTTTTCTTGTTTGCTGAAATTTATGTAAATGGGATTGAACAGTATACACTTTCTTCTGTCTGGCTCCCTCCCTCTTTAGTTCTGTTAGTTGAGTTCTGTTTAAGGGCTCATTCATGTTGTATGTGCTTATAGATCATTCATGCCCAGTATATTATTCACTGCATGACTACACAATTCATGCATCTGCTCTCTGCTGATGAGCATTGAGGGTGCTCCCACTTTGGGGCTAGTCCCCAAGAGCCTGGGCCAAGTGGACTCTCCAGAGTATAAGGATGACATCAGCCTTCTGCTAAAAACCTGCCAGGAGCCACGAGACCTAGAGCCACAATGTTCATTCCCTTTCCCTGCCACATTTAAGACACAGTTTTAGGTACAATTCTGTAGACACAATAGCTCCCCTTCCACAGGGAGTCAAAGCCAAAGTCCTGCACTGCTCTACCATGGCCCTCAAGCCTCTCTGACCTCACTTCTTCCCCAGTCCAATTGGCCTCTGCTCTGTGGCCATGCCATGCAGGCACCCACCTTGTGCACAGCCTTTGCACTTCCCTCTGCTTGGATAGCTTTTCCCTCCAATACCCACTTGGCTTACTCCCTCACCTTGCTCGAGGACACCTTCTCAGTGGGGCCTATCCAAACCACCTTACTGAAGATGGCAGTGTCCTTCCTGCTCCCATGCCACCCAAGTCAGATCGGGCCCCTCCTCTGAGCCTGCCCATCCAAGAAGGGTCATACTGTGTTGCAGTGGGTGGCTTACACAGCTGCACTGTCTCAAGGCTGAAAGCTCCCTGAGGAAGGGGTCTGGTCCCCATCTGACTCTCCTCATACACCTTCCACCCCAACACAGAGGAGGTTATCAGAAAAGCCGAGCTGAAAAGCCTGCTGCATGCCCTTTTCCTTCTCCTGCCACAGACGTCCTTGGGAGCCACTCCACCAGTTCCTCTGGATTAACTACTAGGTGGCAAGGGTCACTGCTCAGTTTACCCTTATAACCCAGAGCCCCAGGCTCAGCACTTCTACCTGACAGGCCCATCAATAAGGGCTTGAGAATCCTTTTACAGATGGAAGAACCGGCTTTCCCTGTCTTCCCTGTGGCCTCACCACCATCTCCAAAGTCATGGCTCTGGAGACAAGTGTGAAAAACAACAGTTTGGTAGGAAAAGTGCAAGATGTTTTGCTGAGTACACAACAGCCAGCTTGGCTAAAGGAGCCCTTCCAGGAAGACCAGAGCCCACCCATTGGCAAGGGGACTTTGAAAAGGCACCCAGACAGTCCTCCCTTAAACCTGCACTGGCCTGGAAACTTCTAGGGGCAGGACCTCTTGGCCCAAAGCCAACCAATGTGAGCAACCCACACGACTCTGGGTCCAAGGGCAAGTCCCAGAAGGCAACTGGCTTTGCTCAGTGTTTCCAAGATCCTGTGAGTTTTAAACCCAACTTAGAGAAGCTCACCTGAAAAACTGGCAAAGAGCCGGCAGAACTGTGAGAACCTATTGCGGTGCAGCCACTGCTGGGCATCCTGGATGGAGGCTGATGGGAGCAGGTGCTGCAGGCAGAGAGAAGGGGCCTTGAGATGAGTGCTCGGGGGCTGCCTGGGGGCACGCAGCCAGAAATCCCGGCCGCAGACACTTACATCGCCACCCAGGGGCAAGGCCTCCACCGGATGGGTCGGAGAGGTGTTGCTGCAAAAGAAGAGACCGGGACGAAGATAAGGAGACCTGCGTGGGAACTGTTTCCTCACCCTGCTGCTGCATTCACCTACCCTCAGGCATGGGACTTGTTTTAAATGAAATGGGGCTTTGAGAAACTCCTGAGTGAGCCGCTTGCTCAGTCCCTCTAACTCCCTGCAGTATGGACTGGCAGTTCTTATCGGTGACCCTGCCCCACCAACACTTACCACCACCACCACCACCACTCCCCACCCCCTACTTGCATCAGAATTCCCCCCAGACTTTCCACCCTGCCACCTGCAGCTGAGGGAAGGGCAGGGGACCAGGGAGACCCAGCACTGCTCCCCCAATTGATGTGGGCCTGTACAGTGGCAGCCAACAAGGGCCAACCCAACACTTCCCTCTGCAGGGACAGGAGAAGGCAGAGCTATCCCTGGGGAATCATTCTGCAGTGGGTAAGTTCCCCCAGAAAAACATTCTCATGGCCTGTCCCTGAAGGAAGTCATACTGGCCTCCTGAGGGGCTTACTCATAGCAAGGCACAGAGCTGAACACTTTTCTTAAGAAAAAGATACATTTAAAAATGACTCCCTCAGACTGATGGTGGCAACAGTACGATGTAAATGTACTTACATGTCTGACTCACTTTAAAACTGTGAGTTTTATATCATGTATGTTCACCAAAATGGCAACAAGAAACCCTCGCAGGGTGCCCCCTGGACAGTTGCCAGCAACAAGAGCCACACTTTACCGAGCACAAGTGCTGGGCACTGCACCCACATTACCCCAACCCTGCATGGGGTTCCTACGTTTTTGGAAGTGGGGAAACTGAGACTGAGGGAGGTTAAGAACTTATTCCCAGGAAGGTGGAATTTAAGACTAGGTCGGCCTGAATCTAAAGAGGACACCTTTTTTAGGTCCCACCCACTCAGGGAGGACTCTCCTCACTTCATAAAACCAAGTTCATGGTCATTCTCGCTTTCCCATTAGCACAGTTCTGTGTCTGCCAGACACAGGCTTTAAGAAACCTGCACACTCTTTGCTCGTCCATAAGTCCTGGCCTTGGCATTCCCCTGCCCCCATGAATAGATGTGCAGAACCAACACAGCACTGTCAAGGGCCCTGTGCCATGCAGCCTGGACAGGTCAGGCAGCTGCCTGCCAGCCCCTGCACTCCCATCACCCTGGAGGCAGCGTGGCCTGCATGTCTGTAGAGTTAGAGACCAGCAGTGAGGCTGCTTCTGTGCTACGAGCCTGAAAGTTGGGCTGGGAGGACGCTGAGTTGACCTACACTACTGCAGCACAAGGGCCGCAAAAAGAACTGAGCAGGCTCCTCACAGCTGCTGCGGCCATCCAAACAGCTGCCTGGAGGCCCTCCCACCCTGGGGGTGCCGGGCAGGCCATCTCAGGAGGCTGGCCTAAGGCACCTGCAGACCAGCCCTACCCTTATTGGGGGAGGGCTGCTGCCCCACAGACAGCATTTATAGAAGTGTGTCCAAGCACAAGCAGCTAAGCAAATACTAAAAATGGAATGCAATACCAGTTAGGCACCCTGAAATCTAAATCGATGCCAGGCTTCAAAAGGAGGGAAGACACGGGGAGGAAAGTCAAGAAAGGAGCCTGTACTCATCACCATCCCAAGGACTCCAAAGAGGGGAAGGGGTGTGACGTACCCTTCGACAAGGCCAAAGCTGCTTGGAGAGCCATTGTAGCTTGGAGAGGGGGCGCTATTCACTTGGTAGGCCACATCAGGCCACGGAGAACACTGTGGAAGAGAGCAGAGTGGCAGGAACTTGACAGCAGTGGTACTCCAGAGGCACTGCATCTGCAGAGGTGCCCACTGCAGCTCCTCCCATTCCCAAGTAAGCACCTGTCAGAGCTGGTGCACAAAACACTGGTCCTTGAACCCCCAACCCACATTTACCCACAAGTGCCCATGAATCAGGGGAGGGGGGATCACTAGGGCCACACCAAAGAAATCAAACATGGCAGAGAACAGATATAACATTCAGGAAGTCCTCCCCAGAGCAAGCAAAGTGTGACATGTGTCTCTTTGAGTTTCAAAGTAGTCAAACCAAAGTCCTGACTCCTGGGTCCACAAATTGAGAGATAACAAAACAGGTCAGCTGCCCCGAGGAAGGTTTTCTAGGCACAAACGCATGTAAATGCATAAAATAGGGAGCATGGGGCCACAGACAACTTACAAACAAAAAATCATCAATAAAGTTCAGTATTAAAACCTGTGCTGTTTGAAAACAATCTGCCAACAGGTCTTGGAGGACAGGAGAGACACTTTCACAATCTGCAAGAGCAGCCCCTCTTCAACACAATCCTATGCATTTTTTTTTACATTCCAGCCATCCTGCTGGGAGCTGAGGGAGACACAGAAACACAAACGGTGAGATCCTTGAACTCAAGAACTTCTTGTGCAGAAGCCAAAAACAAGCACATGTGGGAGTCTCCCAAAGAAAGCAAAGACATACAGGATTCACCTGTGGGGAGAAGTCAGTGGGCAGAGCAATCACTTTTCTCCTGTGTGATAACACCTCTTTGGAAAGGGCTGATCTGAAGCATTCCTGAAGATTTACTGTCACCTACCAAATCACAGGCTTGGTAAATATTTAACTCTGTTGTGAGCTGGGCTGGAATTTGTTGGTGTTAAATCCCCAGAGCCCAGGAGGAAAGCGATGAGCTGATAGAAGGGCACTGGCACAAGGTCACAGGCTGGGAGGGAGTTTCCACCAAACCCTCACGGTGACAAGGGTTTGGACAGATGTTGCCTGAAACAGACCACAACCTCTCCTCCACTGGGAGGTCAGATGAGAGTCAGGAGTGGAGAGGGTGAGGCTCAGCCAGGAAGGGAAAGGTGTTGGTAAGCAGAGGATGGTGGTGGCACCACCAGCACAGGCCTGGACTAAACCCAGAAAGCTGACCAGCCTGAGCTCTGACCCGGATGCTGCAGTTCTGGCCCTGCCTCGCTGCCAAGGGTAAGGCAGGGTGCTTCCTGCACCAGGGCCCTCTGACCACTGCTATTCCCAATCAGATAAAATGCCAACACACATCCATCTGTACCACAAAAATTAGCTTCTATTTTGTCTTGTTGCAAATACTCTTCTGCGTATGGCTTACCACACACACACACACAGCTCCCTGCCAGGACCAGGCCACTGTTCTCTCAGATACTCTGTGCCCGGGCCTCTCCCTTAATACAGCCTTCACACCACCATGGCCAGTGCTGGGTCTTCCACATCTGTGAAAGGGCCTGCCAATTAAGTCATATTATTCAATGAGCAAACACCAACACCTGCTAGCAGGCCTGACTGCAGAACACAGCAGGGAATAGTCATTAAAAACAATAGAGCCCAGTCAGAGGCAGCACCAACAGTGACCCAAGACAGGCAAAAAAGGAGCCTGAGACAGTAAGCATCTCAGCAGCACCTGGACAGAAGGACGGCTAGAGCAGACTGGTGGCTGCCGGTGTCAAGATAAAGAGAAAACACATTCCAGTATCTACCCAAACAGCAAAGGGCAAGTGCTCACCCCCAATAATGCACTCTGAGAAGGGCCTACAGCTCTTCATGCAGAGCTCACATGCACAGGCTTCTTCTCTGCACCCTGCGAACAGCCAATGTCCACCAAGGAGGGCTACAGAGCAGGAAGCAAACTAGAATCCAGACCATGAAAGTGAATGGCAGAACAGTATGTCTATGCACACTATTGGTGTAAAAAGCAGGCATGGGACACATATGTACAAACTGGCTTCATCTGCAGAGAAAAGTGGACTGGATACATGAGGACCCCAAGATACCAGCTGCCCTGGGGAGAGAAACCTCGAGGCTGGGACAGATGTTTTCTGATGTATATATACTCTCCTATACCTTTTGAATTTTAGACCTATTACCTATTAAAAGGAAAAAAATAACTTCATTTTGAAAAGTGCAAATGGCAGCAGAGAACTAGAAGTTATTTCTGAAACAGCTTCCCAGACATGGCACCTTATCAGATGAGCACAGTTCCAGACTCAGGAGCATATAATTTAATGGGAACTCTCAAAAGCAACATTCACACAAGATGGGCAATTCCCCCAAGAATCCACACTGACAGGGTCATCACCCCTCTCCTGGCAGAAGGCCTGAGAGGCACAGGCCTCTCACCTCTGTGAGAATGGTGGATTCATAGGATGGCTGGTACTTCTCCTTCTCCTGGGCGGTTCTTTTCTCCATCTTCTCCCGGTCAGTCTTCTGTTTCCGGTCAGCTCCCTTGGGCTGTAAGTACAGAACACAGAGACCCAATTAGTCCAAAGTGGGCAGAGGAGAGAGACCCAGGGCTGAGCAGGAGCCCCCAAAGCCTGTGTACCCTGCCTCTGGCCAGGCCCAGAAGCCCAGGCAGGCTCTCTGGACAAGGCAGCTTCTCCCACACCTGCCACAGTCAAACACACAGTTCTTGTGCCGGGAACCCCTCCCCACCCCAAGGAAACTCACAGCCTGCTCCTGGGTCCTGCCACTCCTCTGCTCCTGGGGTAATGCTTGGAAAAGATATTTACTGATGGTCACCTGCTTATGGAAAGGGAACCTCAGGAGCCACAAATCCCTATGCATTCCTTGGTTTGCCATGGAGAGGAAAGAAATAGAAGAACTGGGGCCTGCTGGTCAGTGTTTAGTTTGCTTCTGCAAGCTGTGAACCCCCAGACACATCATACAGGCCTCCTCACCACAGCTCACAGCTTATATACCACACACTGAGTAACAACACCCTGACAGCCTATTCTGGGTGCCCACCAAACTGGGGGAATTTAGGGGTGTCCAGGCCTCAAGGTACTAACTGCCCTCATTTACAGGTCAGGGAACTGAGGCTCGAGTGACTGGAGAGGAACCAAGTGCCCACCAGGTAAAGAACCCAAGCGAGAGTGCCTGGGTGTGCGCCATCACCTGGCAGGCCAGCAGCCCACTCACGGGGCCTTCCGGACTCAGCTATCACTGTGAGCTCAGCCCAGCAGGCAAGTTCAGCAGTGACCATACACAGTGGGGAGTCAGCGAAAAAAGTTCATTCTCAAGTGCAGAGGCACCTTCAGGGATTTCCATCCTAGTGTGTACCTTCCTCAGGCTGTAGCTGAAGGGATTTTAGGAATTAGCCCCCAGGGTGATGCCCACACTGGGTGGAGGTGGCTGTGCAGGGGGTTTTAAGGGGACATAAATGACAGATCTAGTTTAGTGGGAGGGAGATACCCAGTCACCAGCCTCCCTGCTCTGGTTCCTGCGAGGAGCCCTTCCTCTGAGAAGCCACAGGACCACAGGCCTAGGAGGCTCGCTGCCAGCCCAAAGGCAAGCCTGCATGTGGGTGATGGCGCACACAGGCCCAAGGAGGTCTGCAAGGACCCAGTGGGCCAGAGAGGGACCCCACCTTTCCTTTCAGAGGCCCTGACAGCTCCACACAGCCCAGGGCACAGCTCCAATGAGCCAGCGGCTTCACAGTAACCAGAGCGACCAGGGGTGGGAGAATGATGGACATTTTGGCTGGGCTCTGCCTGGTACTTGTGCACACCTGTCTGAACTGCTTCTGTGAGTGGGGATGGGTGGATGGGTGGCCACACCTCTTCAGGCATTTTGAGGAGCCAGTTCCTGGTGACAGGGTCTCCCACCTCCTGCAGGAGACTAATAGAGACTCCCTTGGGTCACTCAGACAAGGCAGCTTCCCACTCAGTTCTCCAATAAAACCTAGCATATAGCTGAGGAGTCTGGTGGGCAGAGTCCACACTCCTGAACCTCTGCCTCAAGGTGCACAAAGGTGGCCAATGGGGTCATAGCAAGCCTGGCTGCTCCATGGATCCAGAGACTGGTCCTCTCTCTAGCTGCCCAGCATGGCGCTACACCCCAGGGCACAGGCTGCAAGAGCAGTGGGATCATGCTAGATGAGGAAGGGAACCACTGCCAGGGAAAGGGGAGGAGTTGTGGGGCAGGGGGCTGCAGCACAGGCAGAGCCCACCAGCAGTGCAGCTATGCACATGTCTATGGTGAGTTGCAATCACCTGGTGCCAGAGCAGGCAGCGAGGGCTGAGCAGTGGTTTCCCCCACAACAAGATGGCCGCATCCTAATTCCCAAACCTGGGACAATGACACCTTTTGTGGCCAAAGTGCTATAGCTGCCAGTGGAATGAAGACTGACAACAGAGTGGGATTCAGATGGGAAGAAGACTCCGGATGCTCCAGGGACCCAGTGTCAGCACAGGAGGGAGAGGCAGGCACAGCGAGGCCACGCGAGGACAACTCAGCACTCTTACTGGCTCTGAGGATGGAGGGAGGAGCCATGAGCCAGGGAATGCAGAGAATGCTCTAGAAGCTGGAAAAGGCAAGGAAAGGGCTTCTCCCCTGGAGCCTCCGGGAGGAATTCAGCCCTGCTGACACCTTGACTGTGGCCCAGTGAGGCTGCTTTCATCCTCTGGCCTCCAGTACTGTAAGATGGTAAATGTGTGCACTTTTGTGCTTCCTTTGGAGGCTGATTTCAAGGTTTCATGATCCTAAAGCAAGTTTCTGAACTATGTTGCCAGTCCCACCACCTCACCCTTCAGTCCTGGGGCAGCATCACTAACTGACCAAGGTCTCCCAACCAACCAGGCTTGGCCAGAGCCCAGCAACTCTCTGCCCATGGCCCTCGGCTACAGATCCTTCCACTGGGAAGAAAACGAGTGGCCAGGAGAAGAGGCCTCCTAAGTATAGACACCATCAGTTTGCTCGGCTTCTCCTACAGCCATACGAGTGGCGTGTTCCCCACCTCACTGCCAACTCATCACTGTAACCAGGCTCTGTGGAACATGCTAGAGAGGTAAACAGCCATCTTCAGGGGCTTCTAGTCTAGTAGGGAAACAGAACAGTTCAACACTCAGCTGCCAGGTTTGTGGGTCTACCTCTGAGTATTTATTTCCTTATATATCCCAAACTCAGGAAGTTTAATGGTCAGCCAGCTCTGTAACAAGACCCTTTCTAAAGTGACTCACTTGGATTTCCAGCCCGAGCAGATGCAGCCCACGCCCACCTGAGAAGCTGTGGGCCTTGTGGTAACCCTCCATCTCCCCATGCACCGTGGGACTCCAAGCCACACAGAGGCCCACCATCTTTAGGAATTAATCAGTCCCAATGACAGGAGACTTCAGGGGGCAGGCAAGAGAGGAAAAAAGAGGTACCTCCAAAAACATTTCTTTCTCCAACAGGAGGCCGCTCAGAGGGGAAAATGGCCTCGAGCCCTAAATAAGAACATCCATGGCCAGGAACCCACAGACGACTTCCTGACTTGATTTTTAAGGAGAACCTAACGGTCAACTATAAAGTGGTTCGGAGGAAAACAAAACTCTGACAATGTGCAAGTCTACAATGTGGGATATCTGCACACATACACACACACAAAAATGGGCTGAGCACCGGTGCCTGTGACGCTGAAAGCTGAGCGCCAGGTGCCTGCGCCCAAGGCCGCCCATGGCAGCAGGCTGCACCCCAGGGCACGCGGCTCCTGCACCTCAGGAGTCAGAGTGGAAGCCACACACCAAAGGGACACCAGGCGCCTGGCTGGGCCTCTGGGCGCAATCCCAAGAGTCAAGGTTTCGGTGTAAGCTGTCCAGCACAGGGCGACCGCTGGCACAGCTCGGCGAGGCAGTCCTACCTTGAACACCTTGATCTGGCAGCTGGCCGAGTGCAAGTGTTCCGTGTACTCCCCATTCTCGTTCTGCTTAAATGTATCAATCTGCACTCGGAAAGGCACTCCCTTCTCACCCCCGTGCTTCCTTGGAGTGAACTCTGTGCTGATACAGTGCACCTGGAAGGGGAACCGTAGGGCAGGGAACAAGGAGTGGTGAGGTGGGCTCCGGACTCCCCCAGGGCTCCTAAATGGAGGTTTTCCTTCTGCCTCATCAGGTGCAGACCCATCTCAGCCCTCCTGCTCTCTCCCGACGCTATCCACGCCACCAGGCCAATGGCTTCCCTGTCCCACCCACGAAGGACAAGCTCTTTCCCTTTATCCCTTGACCTAGTTTGGCCCTGCCTGACCAGCTAAGTCCTCACCACTGTTCCAGCACACTGATGCCAGTAGCCCCACTCAGAGACCTCTCTCTAGAAAATACCACAGACTGCAGGGCAGGAACCAAGGCTTAGTCCTAACAGCCTGGGGGCCAGGGTACTTGGGCCAGACCAGGAGTGTGACCAGAACGCTGGAACCACTTCTGTACTTCTGAGAAGTACCTGATTACACAGAAGGAACTCGATATATATTGCTGTAAGACTGTAATAATGTTGTAATAATATATAGTATTGTAATACCACAATAGTGTGATAATAATTTTATAATACAATAAGAATATTTTAATTATGAAAAAAAAGATCGCTGACTTGTACTTCTCAATTGCTGTTGTCCGTGCACTTGAAATAATGGCTTATTCATTATCTGATTTTAAGACAGGTGGGAACACTAAGAAGCTCAAAGGGGGACATATAGTAAGTGGGAGAGCCAGTGCTGAGCCCAGAAGCACAGCACTGCCACCAGGCCCTGAGTCCCCTCCCTCTGCCATGGTGTTTAAGGCAAGGATGGACCCACACAAGGCACTTGATAATTAATTAATTACAGACACTACTATGGAAAAAACTTCACTTCAAGTTATTTATGTCAGCATACTTATTTTGTAAGAAGCTTTGTATTCATAAGCACATGGGATTCTAAAATATTCCAAGTCCTTTTCCCAACCCTAGTGACCAATTGGCTATAGACTATAAGCAACACTCATCCTTCACCTCCCTACCATCTCCTGCCCAGCAGCAGAGCAGGACTGAGCCCCTCGGGGCCTTGCGGATGATGGGTTTTGAGGAACTATAAAATAGGCCCCAAAGCTCTGGCTTCCCCACAGAGGACAACCCACCTCCCACTTACCTGAATGAATGCAGAGGCTCTCTTCGAAGGGTCCCACAAAAACTCAACTGCATTCAGCTGGGTCGGGCTGGCCCTGGGGTCCAAGATACCAACAGACAGTGGGATATCTGCACACATACACACACACAAAAGTGCAACTGTGAGCCACTCCCAAACATTTAGGAAGGACTCCATTACAGGTCCAAATTCCTTAACCACAGTTTGCAATGCCAAAAGTTCTGAAAACTAAGCTTTGCATAACTCATTTGGCAGAATGTCCACCTTGAATTGCCATGAAGCTATTTGGAGTCTTTATCCCATTTTAAATGAACAGTCATTTCATCTTGCTGCAGAAATATCATTGTGCTTGACTGCCTACTGGAGGCGTTAACCAATGTTATGGGTCTACACACCCTACTGTCATGCTAACTTCTGAACACCAAAGCCCATGTGAGCCCAAGGGTGATGGCTAAGACTGTGGACCAATGCCTGGTCCGAAAATCCCATTTCTATTGCCTGTAACTGTGATACCCATCCTTGCCTCCATCACTTACCAAATTCTTTAAGGCAGACTCCCACGAGACCTTTCCTGCAACTCCCTGACAGCAAGCCCTTGAATTCTACCTGCCTGAGGGCCCTCCCTACACACTCACCTCTGCCAGCTGCCACCAGGCCCTGAGTCCCCTCCCTCTGCCATGATAATTAATTAATTATAGACACTACTATGGAAAAAAACTTCAAATAATTTATGTTAGAACATATTTACTTTGTAAAAAGCTTACATATTTATAAAGCTCATTTTATAAAAAGCTTACATATTCATAGCATTTTATGCAAGACAGGGGTCCCTAAAATGCCCTGGACAGGAAGGAGTCTAGACAGCGTCCAGGAGGAACCCTAACACGTCCTCTCCTGGCCCGGGAGACTCACCTATATCCAGGATCCGGTCCCCAGGCCGGCTCCATCGCCAGCCCTCCAGCTGCTGGTGCTCTGTGTACTGCAGCCTGCGGTCATGGAAAACCACACGGATGGTGCTCTGGAGAAGGAGGCCAGCAGGAGACAGCTGAGTGTAGAGGCCAAGAGGGACCCACAGGGAACCCAGCCCCAGGGCAGAGGTCCTAGAGCCATCCTTTCCAGCTCAGGAGCTGTACCTGCCTCTCACCCCCAGACCCCAGGAACACCAACAGCATGAAGAACAAAGACAAGTGCCCTGTTTTTCAGGACTACTAAGACTCTACTTACAGAGCTAATCCATAAGCTTTTTTGTGCAGTGAACAACCTGCAGCTCAGGAAAGTTAGATCAAGTCGCAAAGCCAGGCTCAAACCTGAGTCTGTCCAACCCTGAGCCCATCCCATCAGCCCATGCCACTGTGGCTTCCAACACTGCCAGCCTGTCCTGGTTCCCTTTGACAACACATCCAGAACCCACCTCCTCCCTCTGGAGCTTTTCCTGAGCCTCCCTGCCACTCCTGCCATTCCACCCCACTCCAGTAAGCCCAGGGGCACAGACTCCAGCCACCTCCCAGAGAGAGGGCAGCCCCATAGCTTACTTTCACATATTTTGTGTTCAGATCTTGAAAGTCTCCCAGCTTCCGATTCTCCAGCAGTCGGATTTCGTAAGACTGACCTGGAGGGGGGTTAATAGTACATTTTCCATTTCTGAGTTTTTTCAAATTAGGGGCTCACCCAGCTAGAGGCCTTCCCACTCCCCGCAGTGCCCACCCAGGTCTCACAGCCCTGAGAAGCAAAGCAGAGGAGAAAGTCCATGGCCACTCAGCATGCTCCCTGGACTGGACACACAGCCTGGTTAGTCCCAGAGCACCCCAGGTGATGTTCATTTGACCCCTTGAGAGACAGCTCCGCTACAATTTTCAAAGCAATAACAGTTCAACAAAATAAAGGTAACTTTAAATTTATGGAACATAACTTCTTTTTTTTTAAATAAAGAACACCCCATACACTTGGATGGAGAAACAGCTACTTGAATCCACATTAGAGTAAATAACTGACCATACTTTTCCTGAGAGCAGGTTTAAAGGAAGGAATAAAAGCCTGTTAAACATTGTCTCTAATTGCAGAATGAAAAGCATTTTCCCAAGTTAAAAGAATTTCATGTATTTCAAAGGGTGTGGGGATTCTATTCGGTGACAAATAGCCAGCACAAGCTGGTTAAAGAATGTAAATGGAGAAAAGATCCACCCACAGTAACAACAAAAACTTAAAAGTATCTATGAATAACCTGAAGAAACTACACACACTTTAATGGAAGATAAAATACACTTTGAGTAAATAGGATGCATCACATTCCCCTATGGGAAGACCATACATCAAATGAAGTGAAAGTTCCCAAACTAAATAAGTTTAACCACATATTGGAAACACCTTAGCATATATTACAACTTGATAAAAATGTTTTACAAAATAAGAGAATAAGTGATTTAGTAACAGGTACTGATAATCTGTTTAATTTTTTTTTAAATCATGATAGACTCATGATCAGTTAAACAGTACAGGAAGGTTCTGAGTTCCCCGTCCCTCAATAGTGGCATCCAAGGTTAACAGTGGGACATTATCAAAATTAGGACAAGGACTGCAGCACAATGTAATTCATCAAACTGCACACCTTACTTGGATTTCCCTGGGGTTTGCAGCCACTCGATTTCTTTGTACATGTTTATGTGTCTGGATCAATGAAATTTTATCACTCGTAGAGATCAGCTATTTTTTCAAAGTGCAGGTTTTCACCTCACAGCAAATAACAAAACAAGTTACCACTGGATTAAAAAATCAATTTCTTAAGGCTTTATGTTAATTCACAACTTAATCAAACATTCAGTAGGGGATGACTTTCTGAAACTAAAACTGGGGGGAGCAGGAAATCTAAATTAAAATCTCTCTATATATCTATTTTTTCATATATATATGAAACTAAATGCAAGTAAAAAACTAGGAACAGTACAAACCCAGTGGCTAACAGTCTTAAAATAGTTTAAAAAGCTATGGTCAGAAAAATACTAAGAGCCTCCTATAGTGGGTTGAATGGTATCCCCAGAAAGGTAAGTCCATATCCTGATCTCCAGAAACTGAATATTGCCTTTTATTTGAAAAAAGAATCTCTGCAGATGCAATTAATAAGGATATGGGCATGAAGAGATCACCCTGGATTATCCAGAAGGTCCCTAAATCCAATTACAAGTGTCCTTATAAAAGACACCAAGGGCAAAGTGGGAAGAGGAAGCAAAGCGACCATGGGAGCAGAGACTGAAGGGACATGGCCACAAGCCAAGGAGCACCCAGGGCCTCCAAAAGCCAGAAGAGGCAAAGAACAGACCCTACCAAAGCCTCCACCGAGAGCATGGCCCCACAGATTCTAACTTCTAGGCTCCAGAACTGTGAGAGAATGAACATACGTTTTGTTTTAAGCCAACACATTTGTTAGAGCAGCCACAGGAAGCTAACATACTCCTGTTCCCAATGAAAAATAATCAGATGGGCAACAAACATGAAACTAAATCATTCATTCCAAATATCTGCTGAGCAACTATTGCCAAATGTCATGAGAGTCCCAGGGACACGGAGATGAGCAGAATGGACACAGTGCCCTGTCACAGAGCTCATCACCACGTCTCCCTCAAGCACTGGAGTTGGTGACGGGTGCTGGCTGAGCACACAAGCACCCCTCCCCTCTCCAAAGCTTGCACTAGCCTACCCCACAGGCCGGGGGACACCAAAGGAATATACCAAGCCCAGCACTGCTCAGGCAATCAATGTGCTGGGCACCCTCCCATCAGAGGGAAGAGGCACAGACCCCAAACTGTTGTCCTGCCCACTTGCCAGTTCAGAAGACACGACTCATAGAAAGGTCCTGCTGACCTAGTTGACACTTCTCCAGATTTTCAGCATAGATTTCGGGCTCCTAAGCCAACCCTCCTTTGACAGCACCAGAAACAGAGCCTCATATGCCCTAACTGGTTCTTCCAGTGCCCTAGCCTCTCCAAGAAGAATGCGGCCAGCTCTGGCATGAGGGTGAGGCCCCAGGCCCCAGTGGTCATCACCAAGAGGTTACAGGCGTCCTGGGGCCCAGTGAACACTGACCCCAGGCTCTGCAGGGCAATCTCCACTCATGCCCAAGAGAGACACCTCCTGCCCCAGAGACCAGTTTCCCAGCCTGAACACAAGAACCAGCACCTGGGAGAGCAGAGCCATTAAGGGGGACTCTGAGCCCATGGTGGTGGCTTCCTTCACTTTCTGCAGGGACCTGAGCCCCACACTTCCCCACCAAGAGCCCCTCCTGCCACACCACACCCTCCCTAGGCCTGCCTTGGTGCCAACACACTGGGCCCCACTGACCTGCCCAAGCCAGCTCTCACACAGCATAGCGTGGTCCAGAAGGCCATCATCTGCAGTTACGTGTCAGCTACTGAGCGAGGGCATGAAAGCGGAACTGACCCAGGGTACATGGAGATTTCTCTGCTCAGGCCATACTACTTCAGGGCATGGATGGGAGCTATGCAAAGTGGGCTCTGTGAAGGCTCAGACCACCTCTGTTTTGCTCACCCCTCCACCCCTATGTCTGACGTATAGCACTCAGCAAATGTTGTAACATGATTTCATATTCTTTGCAATGCTATTATGTGCTATGACTACAGGGTTTACAAAAGACACACTGCCCTCAAAAGGTCAGCAACCCTCTGAGGTACACCAAACAGTACAGTAAAAGCACTAATATGGGGCAGAATCTAAAAAACCCTCCTAGAGACAACAGAGATCCAAGGACAGGAAGTACTTGTCCAAAATGGAGAAGGGAAGGGGAAGAAATGGTTTCAAGAAGGAGCTAACATCTGAGATGGACTCTGAAGAGTGGACAGGAGCTCCACAGCTGAGGGGAAGAATGAATAAGCAGCAATCCCAGGCCAACTGTACAAGGAGGTGGATGGGTGAGTCTGTCTCCAGCGAATAGTAACAACTGCTTTCACTCCCTGGTTACTTAGCCAGTGGTAAAGTCTACTCAGGTAACAGCTTACCTGAATCTCAGAACAAGTCAATGAGGGCAGTGCAGGACTGTAAGCCCCACATATAGAGGGAAGCAGAGGCTCAGAGCGGATACCTGACTTGGGCAAGCTCACATAGCCAGTAAGTAGCAGAGCCAGGAACAGAAACGAAATCTATTTCCAGAACCTACCACATTCTTTGCCACATCCTACCTGGTGGGTGTTGTTTGCTGGGAAACAGACATCTGTAGCTCTACCTGATTTCCTTCCAACCTCTCCTTTCTGGCAGGCATCTGACTCAGTTCCATGTAGGCACGCTGATTAAAGTTTGCCTACAACATCTTATGGCATATAAAACACTCAGAACATCCCCATCTCAAGATGTTTTTTTCCTCCTTCCTTCTTCCTTTAAGGACTAGCAATAAAGATGATTCTTAGGGTTGACCAACTCAGTTAGCCAGGTGATCTTGGATAAAGTGTGTTGAGTCCATATCCTTGTCTGTATAATACTCATTTCCTACATTCTAAACAATGATCAGGAGGAAAAACAAATAGCTACATAAAATTATAGTAAAGCCTGTTCTAATTTCAGAATCGTGAAATGTGGAAAAAGGGAAGAAAAGTTGGTCTTAGAAATAGGGCAATAAATATCATTTAGCTGTCTTCCACCTGTGTGTCAGAACATCGCCAAACTCCTTATGTGCATCTTTTCATTTAGTCCTCTCCACGGTCCCGTGAGTAAAGTCCATCATCACCCCTATGTCATAGATAAGAAAATTAAGATCCAGAAAGGTTATGTATCTTGTTGAAGATCAAACCTGGGTCAGACTCCAAAGACTGCTCGTGTGGCCAAACTACTCCACAGTGTCAAGTAGCTTCAAAGGTCCCTCTGGTTCTAATATTCAGAGAGTCCATCTATTACATTTCTCCTGAACTCCTTGATACTCATCTTAACTCATGACCCTCTTCCACACACTTAAAGCCTCCTCCTTCCTTTAAGGCTCACACCCTTAATGCCCTATAACTTTGGTTCTCTGAACCAAGATGGACCTCAGAAGTCTGGTGGGTATGTAACCACGCTGGGAAGTAAGGTTTGATACTTCTTTCCTCATGATAAACTAGTCTCCCTGAAACACACAGAGAACTCCATTTAAAATATTATAAGGTTACAGTAATTAAAACCATGTTATTTTTGGCTCGGGGCAAAAAGACCAATGGAAAGAAAAAAGAACCCAGAAACAGACTTTTAGATACTTGGAAACTTGATCTATGACAGTGAGAAAAAAGACTTTTCAAGAGTGAGGAATAACTGGTTACCCATATGGAAAAATAAATCTCTACCTCATACCATGAGACACTTAGCTCCATGGAAAAACGTCAGAAACACAGTATTAGACAAAAAAGGTACATGGTGACATATATGAAACTACTTTAATATAAAGTCGAAGACACACAAAACATTTTTATGGTTAAATCTTCAAAGAATAAAAATTTAAGATATGCATGGGGATTCAAAACCAACACCAACTTCACAAGGGGCTTTGCATCTGGGGTTGGGGGAGGAAGGGCAATAGGATTAGAAAGAGGTAAAAGCAGAAGCAAATTTAGCAAGGTTGTAAAAAACTGTGCTGGGCAC